GGTGTGCGTGGGTGTGCGTGGGTGTGCGTGGGTGTGCGTGTGTGTGCGTGTGTGTGTGCGTGGGTGTGCGTAGGTGTGCGTGGGTGTGCGTGGGTGTGCGTGTGCGTGTGCGTGTGCGTGCGTGCGTGTTGTGTGTATGTGTGTGTGTGTGTGGTTGTGCGTGTGTGTGTGTGTTGTGTGTATGTGTGTGTGTGTGTGGTTGTGTGTGTGCTGTTTGAGGGTAAACACGGGAACGTTGGAGGTAAGGTACAGGAGTACACGACATTGGCTGGCATGTACTGGCCCTCACATAGTTGCCGGAAGACGCTTCAACAGCTTTTCGGAGCATCCTCGCAACTGTTCAGATCAGGCGCGTTCTGCAAACCACGATCACCACCCGCTTTTCTCTTACAAGAGCAAACTCCGCAGGATTCCCCCAGCTCTCGCTCCCTCTCTCTCTCTGTCGCTCTGTCCGCTTTTGTCGTGGTCTCGTCATTTTGGCCTGCTTGTTTTTTTTGCTCATCTCCTTTCTTCATCTTTGTCGCTCACTCTCTCTATCCCTCCCCCTCTCTTGTCGTGCATGTTGGCTTCATGCGGGACCCGCGAGTCCGCGGCAACAAAGACACTTGCAGATACTCCACGATGCAAACTAGGACATCAATGTGCGTAGCTGCAGGCCTTGAGTCTTGAAGTGGTCCGTGACACATCGAATTGCCTCGCATTGCCTTGTGTTTCTGTCCGTTCACTATGGCTTGGTTGTTGGTTGTTCGGTTTCGGCACTGACATGGCATGAGCGGATCCAGGCACTCCAAATATTCGTCTGGCAAGTGCCTTCAAAGGAGTGTGGTTCATTTGCCGGCATCCGGGGAAAATTCATTCCAAATCTGGCACTTTAGTCTGAGCGTGCGAGGTTCTGCGAGGGAATGGGTGATTTGAGGCATACCTGCAGTTCAGCTGGGACATCGTGCGGACGCCAGAGTACAGGCATGTTCGTAATGTGTGCAGCTGTTCCCTGTTGAGTACATGTAGGTGAATACCCCTTTGTCAGGTGGTCGGTGGGACTCATGGCGTTAGCTGCAATGTTGCTTCCTGTTGTGTGGATATTGCAAATTCTGATGTTCCATCTTCCAGAGACTGGGCTGAACACAGCAGTCGGGGAAGGCCGTAGCAGCAGGGAAGACAGCAAAGTGCAACATCCAAGGACCAGTTGAACGTTCTGAAGGGAAGTGTTCTGAGCGGATTGCTGCTGTTGTTTGCCTTGGAGCTTGGTCTGAAGAGAAGTTCATAACACGGGACGAATTGCCACTCGCCAAAGGCAGCCAGTACGCAATCGGATGCTCGCATTTCGGTTCCGAATGCAGAGCTCTGCTGCACCAACATTGACGGCTCGTGGCAGAGCAACGTCTCCTAAGCAAGCTCGGCTTTCGATGTCTTTGACATAGATCCGTCGTGACCCGAGGATCAGCTTGCTTTTCCAAGCGTTCCCTGCCATGACTGGGAATCTTGACTGATAAGTTGCATGAGGTGAGGGTATCCCTGCACTGTCAAGCAAATAGAAGCGGAGGCAGCGCAATTTCAGAATTTGGTTTTCCGCCGACCGTTTCTGCATTTGATTCTTGGCATTTCGGCTAAATTGCGGCCTTCAGCAAATCAAAGTTCTGCTTAGTTCAGTCTGAAGTTGTCGAGCTTCCAAGCCTTCAAGAAGTGGCAAGGCAGTAATAAGAGCTTCGGCCTGAAGCTGGTGGATGCGTGCAGTTCTCAGACTCCTCGGGCCGTTCAAGATCTGGCTACAGCGTTTCTTCAAAGTAAGCAAAAGCTCTTCGACGTCCTCCTCCAGCTTCTTTTAACCAGTGATCTCATGTTGGCAATACGCACAGGCGGCCTTTATGGCCATGCATGGCCATGCCCATGCATACGTATATGTACATCTACTGCGGCATACACATGCACACTCACGCACGCACATGCATAAGAATATGTGTAGACAATAGTTTGGGGTTTGTGGCGCAGTGCCCACCGCAAAGTATCTCCTTATTCGGCAGAGTATCCCTCACTCCAGCCCCCTGCAGCGCCCACCCTCAGCATCCGGCAGAATATGCCCATCCCCGCCGTATAACGCAGAGTACCCTCGAGCACCCAACTCTACCCCTGAGATAGGAAAACCTGTGTATCTCTTGGTAGTCCCGTCACTCCTTAGGCCTTCGTTTGTTCTGACGTTGTTCTATCTTTTCATGAGAAAAATGGGCAGCTGCGGACTCTCCGCACATAGCATGTCACGGTTTCTGCGTCTCTCTTCGAGTTCTTGCTCACAGCTAAGAAAACAGCATCAAACAGCAGCGGTTGATTTGAAAACAAGCTTGATCAGTGACAGTCGTCTGTTTGATCAAAAGCAAGCAGCAGCTGGAGTTTCTTGAACAGATGCACGCGATCGAAACTCAACAGAGACCGTTCATATCTTGACTTTGTTGACAGTGCAACAAGGGTCATCTAGAACTTTCCCATCAGGGTTAAATTGAATCGAGCTCCCCAATTCTGCAAAGAAGTGTGGGAGTCCTTTCTTTTGTTCGCAGACATAAATTAGACCAGCTCTGCAAGTCTGAACAAGTCCGAGAGCTCTCGTACCCATTCCCGTTGCACAAGATCGTATTTAGAAAGAAGTCAGCTCCTCTTCGTGAAAAACACAAGACCCCTCATCTCTCAGAACAGTTCTAAGGTCCAAGGTTCAATCATCCCAGGAGACATACGACAACGTCGCTTTCTTTAGCAGATGTATAAAGGCACGAAAGCCGACGAAAGGAACCAAGCAGGGCTGACATAAACGAACATAAGCGAAGTACTGATGGGGCATTGACTTTAATTCATTGTACAATGCAGATTGAGCCTGGCACCGCAGGTGTGCCTGATCAAAAAATTGTGGTCAAGACATTACCACTGCAAGGTGTGGTTAACAGTATGAAACTCGTGCAGACCGAAAACACGGGATTGTTTATTTGTTCGTTTGTTGCTGCTGCTGTTGGTGGTGCCGGTGCCGGTACCGACGGCGGTGGTCGTGGTCGTGGTTGTGGTGGTGTCGTTGTCGTCGTCGTCGTCGGCTTGATGTCAATGTGTGATACATCCAACATGACCCGCCTGTCGATAGATGTTGCTGAGGCTTTGGACAGCTGAGCTCGGAGACTTCTCGCGATTGCGTCGGCACTTTGCTGGCAGTCCAACAGGCCTTCATTCCTGAAAGATCCGAGTAGGTAAGATACGAAGGTATCTGCCGGATCCAGATGCTGCCGAAGAGGTTCTGCGGATCTGCCGAGAAGTGCACCCGAGATGTGGTTGTCGTCACATGCACAATCAACACAGTTATTACAACGGAGACATACGTCTCGCTGATGACCTTTTGCCTGCACGCTGCATCACAACGTGCTGCAGGTACAGCGCAGTGAATCCGACATCCGCAGCCGATTCCGTCCTTATCTCGGTGACAGCGGTAGAGCCCGGTATGGTTTGAATTGTTGGAGCTGCAGTGCGGTACTGTACCTTATGGTTGCCCCCCGGAGCGGGCACAACAGCAACAATGTCTCAGGACAATATAGGACGCATCAAGAGTGCCTTGTGCTTTCAAATTCTGGCTGGGTGTGCAGCAGCCGTGATGATGCGCGTGTCCATTTCAAAGAACTTGTGTTGCTTCTGATTTGCTCCTCTTTGTGACATGTGGACATGCGGCCAAGCCACGTCGTTCGGCCATGGTCGAAGTGCTTGCGTAGGGTCCTGGGGCAGGATGGGCAGGGAGTCAAAGCCAACCCAAGACAACAACTCCAAGACAGAGCAAGGTCAGTTTCAGCGCAGGACATCTTAATCAGCCGCTTCCCAGGCTAGTATTCAACATTGAGACCATAGAGGAGTAAAGACGCACATAGACAAAACATCATGCACAAGTCAGTGCAGACCGAGCGACAGGCTGCGCTGAAGGCTCATAGTTTGATGATTTTGAAACGTGGATCCTAGCCTGGAGGCATTCGGCGAACTCAGGCGACTGTTGAGCAGTTATGGTGCGATCCGGCCGAAAGTTTTGGATGTGGGATTTACAGGTTCAGGCGGCCACTGTGGCCTGATTCCCCTGCAAGAAACATCACACTGTACTGTTGTACTTCTCACAGAGAACCCTTGGGAACAGTGTGGGACCCACACATGCCCTTACGGGCTCACCAAGAATTTGAGAAGTACTTCTGCACGAATCTGTCCCTAAGACTGAAACTCACAGACACTAATCCACATCGCAACCAAACGCTTGCTTGGCAATGCAGCACACTGACGCACTTTTTGGAAGAGCTCGCTGCAGTAACATGTCCTTCAATACAAAGTGCTTGACGGGGATCTCATAGAGCACTCGTTCCTCGACCCCCACTTCATCTCCTTCTGAATCACCACGGTAGCAGCAGGAAGCATCGGCAACACAAGTTCCAGCTGCAAATCCGGTGTGCCATGTGGATGCTGCCTAATCCGACTCATCCATGCCGAATGCACTGCTCCGAACTGCGCACAAGCTGCTCAGACTGGTCATTCCCAAACCTGAAGATGAAGTTGTATGAAAGCCTGCAACCTGCCTTGTCAGAGGACTTTCCTGGAATCTTCCATGTGATCTCAGGCAACCTGGCACATGCTGAGTCAAGAGATGAAACCGAAGTCGGAGGAGGCGGAGGCAACGACTGCTGGCGGGATCGCGCTTTACTCCTTGTCCATGATTTTGCGCAGAACCGCTATCAGACTGAACTTGTTTGGGAGCAGGGTTCTGAAAGATCATGTTGGATCCGGGAAATGCAGAACTGTGGCTTCGAACGAACTGCATGTTAGCGGCCATCATCGCCGAGTATTCAGCGAAATCCGAAACGGTGCGAAACGTCATCTTGTAGCCATGCATGTCCGCTTGCATAGTAATCGCTGGGCATTTGCGGCATTTGACCGTGACACTGAATCTCGATCCTTTGCTGCACAACATCAAGTGCAGGAGACTGATCTGAGGCACCTCCAAGAGAAGACATCTGCTGCTGCTGCGACTGACTCACAGAACTTCCCTGGATCAAAGTCTGACACGGCTGTGATGTGGTAGGCAGCGGCGTAGCAGACGACGCAACCACTGGGGGGGGAAAGTGGAGGGGGCGAGACTGCAAAATGCAAACAACGAACCAAGACACGGAACCCCGGAAGAAGGTTGTTGCGGACTGGCGGAGCTGCAAAGGTTTGGGGAGGAGGTGGAGGCGGCGGGGCTGCATTGCACTTGGGTATACTTGGGTGTCGTTCCTCGAATGACAGGCGCCATAATAGATCAACCCTCAGTCCTAGTTTGAGGCCTGTCGGCAAATCATTGGATGAATCAGACAGTGGAATCACAGTGGAATCAGGGAACATTGTCACGTTTCGGGAAACTCATTCGAGTAATTCACTCTCTCAGTCGTGACGCTGCAAGAATGGTTAAATCGGAATCGTTCAGCATAAGTCACTTGACCAGATCGGAAAATCAGAATAAATCGTCCAAGACTGGTATGATCATTCGGATAAGTCAACACCAGAGCACTCTCTCAAAAACATGGCGCCCTCAGGGGATGCCGTTGTGAACCACAGTTGACACATGTTGTCGTCAGGCTTCACTTCTGTCTGAAGAATCAGGTATATCACTCAAAGTCAGAATGACATCAGTGAGTGTCAAGAAGCAGCCTTAGACCTAATGCCTCACATGCACGTAATATATCTGCAGTCAGAAAAGCAGCACAGAGAAGCTCAGTGAACACTCTTGACACTGCCTTAAACCTAACACCTTGCTTCCACACCAGCAGTGCACATCAGACCCTTCGAACAAAGCCTTGAACCTATTATAGCCTGGGCACAACATCTGCACACGAACCAATGCACAGCCATGACCGAGGATTCAATCAGTGTGCAGAATGCACAAAAGAAAACGTATGGCCACGATGATGAATCAACAGCTTTGAGGGTACATTTGGGCGACCAATGGTGCAGGTTCATCAGCGCGGCGTCCCGGACTAATATCAGTGCCTAGTCGGAGCCTTTTCATTGGGCAATCACTCTTACTAGGCAGATTGCCCCCTCCTTGAAACATCGCGCTGCACTTGCACTTCTCTCGGAGAACCCTTCGGAGCAGGGTGGGACACACACACACACACACACACGCATGCACACACACACACACACACACACACGCACGCGCGCAACCCTGGCGTTGCCAAGAAGGCAACCCGCAAACTGCAAACCAGCTTCGCAAACCACGGAAAACGCGCGCCCTTCCTGGCGCGCATAGCAGAACATGGAGGTTTGCGGCCCTAGGAGTAAGAGCGAGAGCCCATGCCCTGGGAACCATATCTTTTTAACGGCTACACTCTGAATTTGTTGGCTCTTTCACACTCTGCTAAAGAGCCCCTAAACAGGCGTGAGATTGTCTTTTCGGTGCGGGGGAGTTGACATGGCTTGACACAATCCCGGTGCCCCGAAGACAAGACAAAACAAGCCTCAGCTCGCTAGGGGTATGGGGATGCTAGGGGCAGGTGGGTTGGGCACCAAATGAGCAGCCGGTTTTCCATTTTTCGTTTCTTCGGAGTTTGTCCCTGCCCGTCGAAACGATAAACCCTCTCTCTCTATATATATATATATAGACTTTATAAAGCCCTGGGCACAGTTCTGTCATTTCGTTGGAACCGAGGTGCAGTCCTGTTATTATGTTGGAACCGTAACGAGACCAATTGAGCAAAAACATATCTTGCCCGTCGAAACGATAAACCCTAAACCCTATAAAGCCTTTGGCGCAGTCCTCTTCTTTTTGAACCAAAACGAGCCGCGTTGAGTGAAAGCATATCTTGGTCGTCGACACGATAAAGCCTAAACTCTATAAAGCCCTTGGCGCAGTCCGTTTACTATTTTGGAACCGACACGAGCCCTGTTTAGAAAAAACATATCTTGCCCGCCCAAGTTAAACCCTGAACCGTTTTGTGCCTTGGCACAGTTCTGTTATCATGCTGGACCGAAGCGAACCATGTTGAGCAAACGCATACTGTATCTTGCCCGTCGAAACGATAAACATTAGACCTTATAAAGCCTTTGGCGCAGTCCTGTTATGACTTTGGAACCCAAACGATCCTGGCCTGAGACAGAGGCCCCCAAAGAACACTCACGACTCCCAACGGTGTCATGACGAAAAACGAAGCGGACGCGCGGTGATGCCAATGATGCTCTTTTGCGCGCGCCGGCGGTCCGCCCCAGGAGCTCTCCAGAACTGCAGCAAAACTTTGCACACACCGATAAAAATCGTCCACGCTCCAACGTTACATGCCGCTCAGCACCAGAGACCTACACAGAGGCGCAAAAGCAAGCACAACCTCAATGATGCCCACAGGTCCCCGGTTGCTTCATTCTGGCTGCCAAGAATCAATATATGACGTTTTGGCAGGAGTTCACCTTGCGGGCCAGCAGGTTCTTTACCAACACACCATGCCCATTTCTGCGGGTCTTGATCCCGAGAATCATGCTCTCGAACGCGGATCCGAAGCTCCAGCCAAAGCAGTTTGCAAGGACGGCCACGCTTCAAGGGACATACAAGTGTTGCAGATATTACAGATCGGTACAGTCATGTGATGTCATGTGTGAAGCATGCACAAGTCACAGTCCGCTCCGATTACCGACTGTGGCAGACTCGAGCTTTGTGCAAGGTTTTTGCCCCGCCTCACCCGAAGTGAAGCCAGAGCGACACCATGATTCCCTGCGGCATGTTTCAAAGGGTTTCGTGCCCCGTGCGTCAAAGAACGAGCTGACACTGAACAATCCGTCAAGCCAAAGCCTGCCAAAGCCATGCAGGCAAGCCGGGGTCATATCAGAGTCATGCTTACAGGGTCGTGTTTCCATCAGCGTTTCCATCAAGAGCCGACCCGCTTGGGAGTAAGTCCTTGTGCAGGAGAGATCACACAACCGCCACGACCTCCAAAATCATCTAACCGAGGGCGACTGCTGCTTTGGAAGACGCTCAAAATCTGTATCCACAAACTAGCTCCAGGCTGTTCCTCATGAATACCGTTGGGGCTGTAGGCTTTTTGGTGTGGAGGGGTGCTGGCTGGTTGGGGGAGCCCAGCAAGAAAAACTCGCGAGGACTGCAAACAAGTTTGTCCTACCGATTTTGTTTCCAGCTACAAGGACGGACAACTCTGGCTCGATTTTCGTGCCACAGTTCTAAGCGAAGATTGAGCCAGGTTTTGACCCGCAGCTTTTTTGCAGTGAAAAACTCTGACTCATCTCCAAGTCATATTGCCCATGTGTTCCAGAGCAAGAATCGTTCAAAGCATTACAGGGATTGACAGGGTATGCACCCGATTCCCGCGTGGCCAAGAGGGTTGGCGCAGAGAAGCAGCGCTAAAGACAAAGAACAGTGACGAACACTTATGTGACGCGATGTTGTGCTGTTTTGAGCTGGTGAGGATTTGCAGCCCCAGCTGTTTATCTCTACTGGAAAGATGATATACCTTTATGCAGATACAGTGCAAAGTCGGCCCCTTCAACCACAATGGAAGAGGTGCTTTAAAGGAGACGTTGGCAAATTTTTTTCTGGAAGCCACTTAGCTGGATGCCCTGCCAGTTGCTCGCCTGCATGTGTCGTGAGTGGAACGGGTTGAAACTTCGCATGTGCAGCCAGCCAGGAAGAAAAGGTGAGCCTTCCCAAGCAGTACGAAAGCATTCAGCACAAGAACGGACCACTTCCCACGACTGTTGTCCGCACCCGAGGCATGCGGGACGGCAGTGAGTGACCAAACCTGCGCAGCAGCGTGTGCAAAGTCACAAAAGGACGCCTGAGCCTGCAATTTCCTCGCGAGCCTTATTGTTTTGACAGCCAGCTTGTTGTGCGTGTCCTTTCCCGCGACGCCATGTTCTGGCTGAGACGATATTTGTGGCCCATCTGCTCTTTCATCCATTCACCTAGTTGCCATGACAGACTCGGAGTATTCGTTCTCTTTGACTACCTTCGCACCATCCGGGAAGCTTTTGCAGATCGAGTATGCCCTCAACCGAGTTGCTGAAGGGCGCCCCGCCCTAGGCATCAAGGCCAAGAACGGGGTTGTTCTGGCCACGGAAAAGAAGGTCACAAGTCCGCTCGTGGACGAGAAGACCTTGGCCAAAGTAGAGAACCTCTCCGACAGTGTGGGAATGGTCTATGCCGGAATGCCCGCAGATTACCGTGTTTTGCTCCGAAGAGGGCGTAAAGTTGCCCAACAGTACTACACCATGTACCGTGAGCTGATTCCGGTTTCACAAATCGTTCGTGAAGAAGCCGCCATCATGCAAGAGTTCACACAGTCGGGCGGTGTGCGACCTTTCGGAGTATCCCTCATGATCGCAGGATTTGACGACAGTGGCCCGCAGCTTTTCCAAGTGGATCCATCCGGTACATACTTTGGTTGGAAGGCCTCAGCAATTGGCAAGAACCATGTCAACGCAAAGTCTTTCTTGGAGAAGCGCTACAGTGAGGACATTGAGCTAGAGGATGCAATCCACACGGCCATCCTCACCTTGAAGGAGGGTTTTGAGGAAGCAATCACGGCAGAGAACATTGAGATCGGCATTGTGGGCACTGACAGGAAGTTTCGAGTGCTGACTCCTGCAGAAGTCCAGGACTACCTCGGAGAGGTAGAGTAGAGTAGGCAGCAGACCAGCCGTCTACAAATGATAGCCGGGATTCGGCACAGATCCGGCCTCAGAACAGGAGATGCTATGTAATAGTGCTAAGTACCCAATGTACGGCATGACTTGAAGCACAGATCCGCTGCGCAAGGATAACCTGCGAAACAGTCGAATTTGAGCGAAGAGCTTGCTTGTGTGAGGGGCAGCCTCTCAATGCTCGCTCGGCAGTAAGCCACGTCCTGCTTCTGTCTCGAAATTGGTTCAAGCTGAACACGGTGGAACCCGATACTTCCGCAGCCGCCTACATAGCCAGCACAATGCCCAAGACAGGGAACGGAGCCTACACCGTACTCCACGCGATACTGTGCGTAGTCATGACTAGCTCAGAAGGCAACTGCTGTGCGATTCTGACCTTTCTGCAGAAGGGGCATGCATCCGCCGTTTGATCCACGCGATGCTGCAGGCAATCTTAATGGTCTGCTTTTTTTGTCGTAGTCCACCAACACTTCATTGAATCACAGCTGCGAGGCTGCGAAACGAATCTCCTCGTCCCTGTACCAGGGATCCACCGTATCCCGGATTCAGGTTGGTACAAGAATGGAAGCTTTTTGCTGAGGCTGAGATGTCTCCTGGCACGAGGGTGATTGCCGACAGGACGCCTGGGGGCCGGTCTGCAATGACATTCGCAGCATCGCGAGGGTCCGCATCAACCGCCGCCAGCTCACAAGGGCTCTTATAGTTATCAGGCGCTTCTATTTGTGACAATGGTTGGAAGCAAGTCCTGCAGCATTGACAGCTAGTGATTGTTTCAGTGGCCAGGCTAAAGTGGTTTCCTGTTCAAAAGCAGAGATTTATGTAATTCTGTAGTGGGTCGCAACTTTCTGCAAGAAAGAGCATGCATGATCCTCCCGGAAGACAGTGCACCACCAAGGTTACACGGGCGTCAAAGCCATAAAGATGAGTCCGCCGAAGACTGAGTGGCAGGCACGCCAGCTTGCCTACCAGATTCGACCAGATGATGCAGGGTCTGTGTCAGTCATCTCGAAGCAAGAGACCAGCGAAACGGTTCCGAGTTTAACGACTCAGTTAGAAGAACATGATATTGTGGATCTTTTTGTGGAAACATCCGAGAGCAAGAGTTGATGCGTTGTGATCAGATTAAGTGTTGTCATCCACAAATACTTTCCACTCCGCTTGCTCAGTCGGGCGGCTCCATTGCTTGCTTGCCCCACTGGCCCCGACACGGGCAAATGGGGCAAGCCTGACAAGTGAGAGCAAAAGAAGTAAGGTGAAGCACACGTCGAGCTGTGAGAAACGGTTTCCAGTCTGGACCCTGCCGGATGTCCGCGTGTGAGCGAATGAAGCTTGCCGCTCTGAGGCACCTTGATGTTTGTAGTTCGCTTCGACTGTGCAATCTGTCGGTGTCGAATAGATTCATTGGTCCATGTTTGTGCTGCGCTGACTCAGTGTTGCACAAGCTAGTAAGCCTGGTAGAAACCGCCCGCAGCAGAATGGCCATGAAAACGTCAAGCACTCGCACATTCATGGAGCTTTTAGCAAAATGTGTTTTCATTGGGAGTTCATGGAGGACTGGAGCCTGCCCTTACTTCAGACTTTGGTGGGTCCCTTAAGGCCTGAGTTTCCAGGAAGCTACCACATGTATTTGACGAGGGCCCGAGCAGGGGCAGAACGTCATCTGTACTGGAAGCGATGACGAAAGTTGAGAATTGCAGCATATACTAAGAGTGCAGCCTTCGTGTCCTGGAATTTGTATTTGGCAGCTTGGTGGTTGCAGCAAGATTCCGATGAAACTGGAAGCTTCCACCATCGGCGTGGAAGGGTTTCTCGGACGTCGAGGAACCAACACACAGTCGACCATGAATTCTCGAGGCAGACCCCGCCTCCCGCGGCACACCTTCCAACCTGCCGACTGAACCGCCCCCAAGTCTGACAAGAGCAGGTGGGTTTCGTGGCAATGAGTCAGGTGTGTGGGTCTACGTAGGTTCAAGATAAGCCGAGGACCATGGTCCCTTCGGTCAAGTCCTGGACCCGTGGAAAAAATGGATAGAGAACGTATGGCACGTTGCTGCTTCGAACACCTGCTGGTTGCCTGTAATCTCTCTGATTTATTGGAAAAAGAATTTGGAAACTTAGCCACTTGGAAACAGGAGCCTCCACCCGCTTCGAGGTCGCTTTTTGTTTTCGACGTGATGTTTGCATCTGAAGCAAAAGAGGATCCGAGGGCGACATGCTGCCGATATGTGTTGTGCCGGGCTTGGAGCATTCCAAGCAGCTTCCCAGTCAGGCGGCTGCCGAGAAGGAGTTTCTGGTAATGCGTTCGAAGTTCCCAAAGGATGAGTGCCTCGGAGAAGTGCGTAGATGCATTCCACCGCACCGAAGATTGCATTATCTGTTAGAAGATAATGCAGCATGGCAAGATCTTGCCATCCATTGGTTGATTGAGGCTCCTATGGTACCTGACCCCAGACGATGTTGCTTGGCGGCCATGGCTCGGGTCATTCTGAAGCTTGCTCATCACGACACGGAGAGGTCCCTTCATGCCTCCTGCAATACAATAGTTCAGCTAAGCCCACGATTTGCCAAGGCTGTATGTTGAAACAACGATATTCACTGCATGGTGCATTTTTTGTTGTATTGTGTTTAGCTAAACTTCGTTATTTGGTTTGCAGAGTTTGGTCTTTGCTAGCAAAGGTTCGGCATCTATCTCCAGAGATGAGGAAATGCTTGACTCTGCAATGTGCAAGCGCCAAAGATGTGTCCAAATGGCGAGCTTCAGCCAGCAAGCTGTTTGACAAGTATAGCACAAATCCCACACACAGTTGCATCTGGGACAGGTCTGCCCGAGGTTCATCAGTCAGTATCAAGCAGAATATTTATTCATTGCATGCCGTCGTGCATCATATCAACTGTCAACTTGATTGTCTCAGGAAGCCATCAGCTCATTCGATGCTCGCCTACAACTTCCCAACGCATTCACGAGCTTCTGAATGTACGTTCCAGGTACAGTTTATAACCACTAACTAAGCAACAGACTGTTTCCATCTTTCCAGGGTTGTGCTCGGCAAGTGTCAAGATTCCTTGTTGAGGCCGTCATGTCCGTATTCAGCATGAAAGCTGTGCTGTCAGAGAGGCGATTAGATTTCAATCTGCAGCCTTACACAAGGCAAGTTTCAGCGCCGTCCATTCGACACCAACAGCCGGGCTGTTCGAATTGCGTGTCTTACGGAGAAGATCTTGCGCAACTCTTCTGCAAGGATCGATTACGCTACTCTGATCATCACCCGTGGACATCTCGATATTTGCGTGCTGTTTACCTTTAGTTTGGCACTTGCTTGCATGCCTCTGTCCACATCACAGTGCCTCCCTGTGAGTTTGGGTCTAAAGACCCCCAACAAAATCAGCCGCTTTCGCTACATTGAGGCTTCCAAATTAATTGCTGCCTGCACGCATTGAAAATGCTTTTGCCCCCAGATGTTAATGGGTTAGCGTATCACAGGCTACCCACAGGCCCTCCAAACGGGCTTGCAATATTGACAAAACATTGAGCAGACGAAGTCGGGCTTGGCATGAACTGATGGAAACTAGCTCGGGACGGAAGGGATGATGCCATTAAAAAAGTAAATCCCCACCAACTACCAAGTGCATCTTTTCAAGCCTCGAAAAATGTAGGAATCCCGGCAGCCAGTTTGAAACAGCTGACTAAAGCAGCCTTCGGGGCTTTTTGGTAGGTTGGGATGCCTTTGGTCTGGTTTCAACGTTTGGAAGCTGAAATAGATCATTTTCGGGAGCACTGTGATCGGATCTGTCTAGATGCTTGCAGCTCCGTGAAACTTGATGTGGATTTTCGTGTGGGCTGGGATCCCCGGAACCTTACCCGCACACCTGCGCCTCTCACTGTTGGGGAAAAACAGGACGTGCGTGATAGACAAGGAGGCTGCTGATTAGTATCATATATGTTGTAACGTACAGGTGAGGCTGGAGTCATGTGCTTGATGATTGTCATGGTGACGTTGGGAATGATGGATGATCATTCAATGATGATGACGATGATGATGATGTTGCCCATGATGATGATATGACATGATATGATATGATAGTTAATGATTTGATCTGATGTTCACCGCCATCAAGATCATGATGGTGCTGATGATGATGATGATGGTGATGATGGTGATATGATGAATGAAGGTGACGACAGAAATTAAGATGATGATTATCATCATCATGGTCATGGTCATGAGGTAAGGATATGCAAACCACGACGACTACAAAGACAGTGACACAGGTTGGTCAAGCCCGGTCTTGCAATTTAGTATAATTTAGTTATCTCTGAATGAGATTTCCGCTTGCTCGCAATTCTTGATGGTTGCTGGGCAGGTGGCATACACGATGTAGCAAAAGCCGTGCTCGCTTCCAGAATGTCTTTGTAGTACCAGGTGTCACACGCAGAAGAGCAGGAAGGCAGTCGAGGCAGCTTGAGATGCTTGTTGCATATGAACCCTGTTTTAGCACACCCCAATCAAAGCTTCACCCCAGCCCCACATTGGTTTCGAAACTGTTCGAGCCACGCCGAAAAGTTCGGGCCTGCGACTTAGGCCTGCGAGCACATCTGCTGAGTGTCTTGGATTGAGTGGAAACACTCATAATTTTATGCATCGTCGTTTTCCCAAGCTCGGACAAACATTTTGCATGTAGCCCTCTGTGCAGCGGTCAGGCAATGGTTCTTGATGTTCAAGCATGCACTGTACATTGACAATTAGGGCATTGCAGCAGGATTGTATTCAAAAATCGCTGCCGGCTTGGTGAAACAAGGGAGGGGCTAGCATTGCATCGGAAATCGATTGTCCAGGAAGCGGTTGCACGTGTGATCTCCACTATGACGGGGAAAGGCTTCTGCCCAAACGCCAGCATGCAGCCACAGAAGGTGACTGCTCGTTTGGACCTGTTGGCTGACATCCAACTTGCTAGGTCTGCAATCCTGTACTCAAGACGCT